GGTCAGGTCAAAGGTCAAATTCAGGGGTTTTGCATGATTAGGCTTACGGACAGCGGAATCGATAGCTGCTGCTCGAAACTCACCACAAATGACCTCAAAGACCTAGTGAAGGTACCATGTGCGTATAGGGGTCATACTAAGTACGGGTCAAGGTCAGGTCAGGTCACGAAAGGTCACGGTTTTCACTTTCTGCTACATGGGCGTGCGACACATGTTTTATGGCTTATTTTTCACGCCAAATCCGATGGTAATGGTTATATGTGACCCCAAGTCACTGTGCTGGTGATAAGTGTGCATTGAAAGCATAAAAAAATCGTTTATACCATACATAACTAAACGAGGGCTAAGAAAAAAAGTCAGTTTTTCAACTTTTTATTTTTGACATAAAAATGCACTTTTCTAGACGAGCTTTGTCCCAGGAATCTAGTGGTGCCATTTGTTTTCACATGCGATGTTCAGAAGTGCCTCTAATTCGCGAAAATGCTTATGACGTCACCATGCCCTATGCATGTTGGAGCTATTTTTACAATTTGGGGGTCAAAAAACAAGATAAAAAGTTGAAATTTGGGACATCTAATGTTCTAATAGAGCTCTATAACATATATTCCGGTTTTTTGGAAATTCTCAAAATTTTGGATTTTATTAGCTGTTTTCCAAAAAATATAGTTTTTTGAATTTTTAGGGGTGAAAAACGCATTTTATGGAAAATCCGAGATAGCCATTTTAAAGACCTCGTTAAGCTGCGTCTTTTCATGTCCTTAATTTGCAATTTGCTTAAAACCTCGATTTTTTGCGATTTTTTAAACATTTACCATTTTTTGACTGAAAACGCCATGTAGTTACATCACTAAAATCGATATATCTCAAAAATTTTTGAAATTTTTTTCTTAAAAATTGCACAGGAGACGTCAAATTGATGGGGGAGAAGGTATGCAAAGTTTCAAGTTGATAGCTCAAGCGGTTCATGAGTTATTCAAGAAAAACGGAGGGGGGGGGTCGGATCCGACCCCCCCCAGGCGGTCACGGGTTAAGGGGGGAGCACTGCCGACTTTTGGTCCCATTCTTTCCATGCAACGCTCATAGGGCTAATGTTAAAACTCCCAAATCAAGGGGGCACGGTGCCCCGGTGCCCTCCCGGCTCCCCGTTCCGCCGCCTATGATCGGGACATTGGAGATTGGCAAACTCTTAGGGGCTGAGGTGAAATGCCTCAACAGTGTCTAAATTAACTATATACTGCTGGTATACCTACATTGTATGGTAGGTACATTCGGAATCTTATTTGGGTTGCTCTTCCCTAGCCATTTGCTCCTAGGTAGCCAAGTAAATCTTGCTGATCAGCTTGTTCCCTCATTTGATAACCATTCGTTTCACGATGCTACGAATGAACGGAATAAGGAAAGGTCAAAGCCAGAAATCAAGCTGAATAAAACTTGTTGTAGGCGAGCAATGGCATCTTTGAGCATCATCATAAGTAGAAAAGTATGTATAAATAACCTTATGCTCATTCTTTGCACTTTTTTGTTGAAATTGAATAATTAAACAAAATCATTGATATATTTCGGCTTGCGCCATCTTCAGAATGGCGCGTGTAGCCCCGGATGCTGACGGGGAAATCTGGCATGACTGTCTTGGAGAAAGCGATTTCAATGATATCGACTGTGTGAATAGCACCCGTGACCAAACAGGACCCACCCGCAGAAAGTCTTATCCCTCCAGCACAGCCCCTGATCCATTCAGTAATCGCGATAAGTTTGTTAACATGACCGATAAGATGCTTCCCGACCAGCTGGTAGATTTGCTTAGCAAGGGCCCTAATTTCGCTCTCACACGATCAGTGAACAGGAACGTGATCAAAGAAGTAGAGATCGGCCTTGAGAGGGGTGTTTTTGCCTTGCGTTGGAAAAAGCATATTGAAAAAAGAAAGTCAAACCTGCATCCTAGTGCCAACAGTTCTGAGTCAGATAACGGTACTGTAGCATCAAATACGGATCAGCAAGATGAAGGTGATTCAAATACCCCTGAACCAGACATCGACCTTGACCCAGACCTGACCCAGGGAGCAAAACACAAACTGAAATTGACACCAAAGTTTAGCGACACTGACACTCGGGCGGCACCTTTCGCTGACAGCAGCACAGAGAAGTCATTCAAAGTTCTCAAGCAAAAAGTCATGACCATCTACAAAAATCACAAAACTACATCAGAGCCCAACCATGGGCCTCATGACAGTAAAATGTTAAAACAGCTGGGCGAGGATCCAGATATCATAGTAAAACGTTCAGACAAGTGTAAGAGCCTGGTACTGCTATCAAAAAACGAATACTTACAAAAAGCAGAAAAAATAACCAAAGAATATGAAAGCGTGCCTAAAAATCCTACTACTAAATTGGAAGCTCAAACAAAAAGACTTATCAAAGATACGTTAGCAAACAAGGTACCCGACAAAGTCATCAAAAGCGTAATGCCCTCCGGAAGTCGTACAGCTGAGCTCTATGGTCTCCCAAAAACACATAAGCCAGACGCACCACTCAGACCTATCGTCTCAGCATGCGGAGACCCCCTGGACAAGTTAGCATGGCTTCTGGAAAGGATAATTACGCAGCTACTGACCTTTGTGCCGGCCCATTTGACAAACACAGACGACTATCTAGACAGACTACGGACCCAGTTTCCCCAAGGACTGCCAAAAGATTGTATAGTGTTTTCAGTTGACGTGACCAACCTCTACGGAAATATTCCCACCCACGAGGCAATCACAGCTACCTTGAATCTTATGAACAGACACTTGGACGATATTGACACTTGTGGACTCACTGTAAAGGACATCGACTCCCTCCTTAGACATTGTCTCAGCAACAACTACATTCGATTTGGTCAAAAATACTTCAAACAGACAGAGGGAGTGGCGATGGGATCCAGGATCGCCCCACCGCTAGCCATTATGTTCATGGACGCAGTAGAATCGATGATACTCACCTCTCCAAATTCAAAGTATCAGCCTATGACGTACATGAGATATATCGACGACATTCTCGGTATTTGGACACACGGACCGGACAAACTAGACGAATACTTCCGATTCCTCAACGACTTTCACCCAGCCCTAAAGTTCACGATAGAGAGGACCGACCAAACTCCAAACAGATGCATACCATACCTTGACACCATGATCAGAGTGAAAGAAGACGGCTCTTACAGCACTGAGCTCTACATCAAACCTATGACAGCCCCCATCATCATTCACTACACGTCAGCACACCCGATGCAATGCAAACGCTCTGTACTACACTCTCAGCTTCTACGCGCCAAACGACTAGGTTCTGATAGACAAGCACAAGAACGGGGCATGGGACTCATGGAATCACTGTTCAGACACAATGGATACCTACCCGAACAGACTCATTCAAAGCACTAAACACAAAATCATGTATCACAGACAAAGATCAAAAAGACGAAACACTAAGCAACGAGACACCGACACGACTTACATATCTCTCCCCTACATAGACGAGACCCTTGCACGACGAGTCAACGGGGTAGTGCGCTCATGTGGCGTACAGGCACGTATCGCGTGGACCAGTGGGAAAACGGTGGCCAAACACATCGTAAGGTCAGCGCTGGAAAGCCCCCCGTGCCCTGCTGGTGCCAAACGCTGTGCCACATGCGAAGCAGGGCTCCCAGGCCGCTGTCACATCAAAAATGCCGTCTACAAAATTACATGTAATCTTTGTGACAATGAAAGTACTATTTACATTGGCGAAACAAAAAGGCGCATCCGTGACAGATTCAATGAACACTTTCGTGACGCTAAGAACAAGGCAAAAAACACCCCTCTTGGGGATCACGTTACCCAAAGACACCCATCATGTACAATCACATCATCGTCATTCAAAATCTCCATTGAAAGAGTGTGTAAAGACGTCGCTGATTTAAAAATATCCGAATCAGTGGAAATAAGGAACCAAAAACCATGTTTGAACACCCAAACTTCATCCTGGCCACTTCTGCAGCGTCCATCGTACACCCCCACATAACTATATTGTACATATCCACAAATTGATTGTGACAACTACTGTCTGATTGTGCCGTTGATTTAGGCTGCGCCAAACAATGTGATGATTCATGCAGATTCTATGTTGTTATTTTGTATTGTATATTGATCTTGTGTGTTGTATATTGTACATGTATCGTAGGTATCATGGACGGCGCATCGTTATTTCGAGAGCCATGTATATATGAAATTATTCTCTCATCAAGGAGCTGATTGAAGCGCTGCACGATTTATTGATTGATGGAATCGAATTTTGTTTGTTTGTGTCGACAATTGTTTCTGTACATTCTGAAGATGGCGCAAGCCGAAATATATCAATGATTTTGTTTAATTATTCAATTTCAACAAAAAAGTGCAAAGAATGAGCATAAGGTTATTTATACATACTTTTCTATCTATGAATAAAACTTATTTTGCGGAGAATGCAGGTATGAGGTAGGGACCTATTCTCTCTCACTTGATCGTGAACTTTGGGTTTTCGGGACAATACAAGAGTCAAACTTAGCGACAGACTTCGTAGTTTGCCACAGTCCGTAGCAAACTACGGGGCCCGTGAACAGCCCTCTGATTTACCTGATTGAAATTTGAAGCAAACAAATTAACAATTCATGAACTTAAAAAATTGATGTGAACATAGTTCATTATCAACAATACCTAATGCTATAATGCACCATCATGTAATGATAATTGATGATAAATTAATTGCATGTCTTCACCTGTCTCCACCGTAGCTCAGTTGGTAGAGCATCGGTCTCCCGGTAGTGAGAGCCCGGGTCCGAGACGCTCCGGCGCTCGATATTTTGAGACTCCTGACGGGGATGGTCTGCGGTTGGTCACTTGGTGGGAGCAGCCGCAGCCAGTTGAGGTCAGTTGAGTGGGACAGGCCGTGTCCGGCTTTGAAGGGCACGTTAAACTTTGGCATCTAAATTCTCCCGTTACCCAGAATTGCGCGATCGGACGGTAGGGGTCGGAGTCTACGCGACAAGCTCTGCTTAGCGTGGGCTTCGGCTCTGTCAATCCGTCCATTCAAACATTCGAGCTAAATTTATAAAAAAACAATACAATAATATCCCTGATATTTTTGATATTTTATTTTTTAATCGAATCGAAAAAAAAGAATCGTTCAATAACTTTTTGGCTGAATCCTGCATTTTACTCAAAATGTCTGCGTTTTAGAGCACACACCTTGAATTTCGTCATATGCGTCATATATGTATACAGTCGATACGAAGGTTTGAGATTTGTCATTTTTCGGAAAAAAATAGATTATCCTTACATTTACAGGTAAGTGAAGTTGATGGGAATTTTGATTTATGCCTGTCATGACTTTAAAGTAGATAAAATGCATATGTTTCAAATCCGTCCGTCTTTTTGTTGGTTTTATTGTTGGTTGTTGCTGATAAATGCATTCTGTGTTTTCATTGTTTTGAACTTGAACTGCATGGTGTTTTCAGTTGTTAAAAGTTTTTATATTCATTCGTAGTATGTCATGTTTTATTTTTGATAAGTTTACCACATTATATTATACTGTAACCATTTATGTTGTAATTTGTGTGTTCATTCAAAGTTTAAACCTCTGCAATTCTGCATCGATCGGCTTGGTTAGGCGTAGTATGATAATCTGTGCACTTGAACTTGAATTCTTAAGGGTAGTCTAGAATTTAGCTCTGCAATTTAGTTTTTTTATTTACACCAAACTTGGAGGGTTAAGTACCTACGAAACTGAGATAGCATGAGCAGCTGTAAAAAATTAATTAGGTTATCTTTCTATTTAGAATAATATGTAGATTATAGGAAAAAATGTATTTGCCACTCATAGGGCACATGACTGTCTGGAAGTTTAGAAATTAACATCTCAATCTGCAACTTGGATGCATTAAAAAGGTGCTGACGCCTGACACTGACCTGTTAAATAGATAACATCACTTCATTCTGTGGCAACAATCAAATAAAGAGTGAATATGGGACATCTAGGTTTGTTTTATGCTGCTACTGAAAAGAACATAACAATGGTATATAACACATTTTATGCTGTAGGGGGCAGTAGGTATAAAAATTCCCCTAGCAATAGTACTGCTATAGTTTTAATGATGATGTCATGCAAAGAAAACGTTGTAGCAATTGTGTTTAGCTTTCCAGTTGGTACTTGGTTACTTGCTAAGCAAATTTGCATCTATAAACTAAGTTTAATTTGCATTTATAAGCTAAGTGAATCACACTAAATCTCACAATGCTGAGTAGAACTGCAAATTCATCCAAAGGAACACTTGCAATGAAAGTTTGGCTTGGCATGAAAATTCAATGAAAAAATTGAGATGATGCATTACTTTTGCTTGCAAACAATGCCTTGAATAATATCAAACATGTCATGCTCATGAGCAGCACTTGATCCACTTTTTAAGGAAAAAATGGCATTTATGGGTGATATGAGCATTGAGCCAGGGATAGGCCAAACTATTTAGATATTTTTTGCTTGTTTGGTAGATATAACATTATATTTAATAGAAAATAGTGTTTTTTGGCAGTTGTTGTAATGTCATTTCATCAAAAGTCTTAGACAGAAGCCAAGCCAGTACAATTTTTGTGCTTGGCATAATTTAACACTTCTTCCTAGCATGAGATCATGAATATTGTATGCGCATTTATTATAATGAGCAATAGACTGCAACCTGATGAATGGTTATTAATAGTTCCTCTCATGACCAGCTTCTGTTTGCCAAACATGTTACATAAATTTTGCCAGCATATGTTCATGAATTACTAATTTTTTCTCACTGTGGCGAGTTCTGCCATTTCGCTACTTAAAGTTTTGCCAGCATGTGTTCATGAATTACTAATTTGTTTCTCACTGTGGCGAGTTCTGCCATTTCGTCTGCGGAACCACCACTTGGCATGGCGGTCTGCGCCATGGAAGTCATACCTATGATCATCTTGTGAGCGCCATTCGGCCCTGCACACCAAGACCTCAGAATTGACCAGGACCCACCAGAATCGGTCTGCTACAAACTGCTACTAGCGACTCGCCGGAGCTGGCCACGTGAACAGCGGTCTACCTAGCTGACTTAATATACAGCAGTCCACCAGCTGACTGTGTGAACAGTGGTCCGCCCAGCTGACCTGACCCCATCTGGCCGCCAGGTCGCCGCCATGCTGATCAAGGTCAAGACGCTGACTGGGAAGGAGATCGAGATTGACATCGAGCCCACGGACAAGGTGGAGCGCATCAAAGAGCGCGTGGAGGAAAAGGAGGGCATCCCGCCTCCGCAGCAGCGGCTCATCTTCTCCGGAAAACAGATGAACGACGAGAAAACGGCGGCGGATTACAAGGTGCAGGGCGGGTCAGTGCTGCACTTGGTGCTGGCACTGCGCGGCGGACATTGACAGAAGCTGTGGTTGGCGGCCGGACCGCTAGGTGGCTCTGCTGTCGCTCGGCGCGGCGCTGAGGGACACGGCTGTGGATGAGGCCTGTGCTGATGCGGGAGAAACGGTCTCGTGTCGGCGGAGACCGGGCCGCGCGTGCTCCTGGTGATGTGACTTTGGTGGTGATCGCAGAGGTCGGGTGGCCGGGGTCGGTCGCTCCTAACTCAGACCGACAGAAGAATGACCGATGGAGGACGGCCAATCTTTGAGTCGGTACCTACCCCGAACGGGAGCGAGCGGCCAGCCACAGGGGAGCTCCAGCTCAGAAGTGATGCGCCGATATTCCGCACTGATGTCGAATTTGTGTCTACGGTCGTACTAAACGCCATCGCTTTATTTACGTTTGGTATGTTCCCTTTGTGATGTCAAATACATAATAAAATCTTTATTTCGCTATGTGAATGGAGACATGTCGACTCGGCTGCCATTTTTTTTTTGGGGGGGGGGGCGTATGCTAAACCGATTAAATGAGAGAAAGACTGACTGAAACAGGGACACAAGAAGAAACATAAAACCGTTTAGACGGTAGACCAGTAACAAAACATTCAATTATGTATATGTATAATGTATAAGAAACACTTACATGCAGTTGCGCGCATTTATCGCACCCATTCTCGATGTAAGATATTAGGCGCGCGTCTTATCCGAAATTCGTTGCAATTACACGCCTAATCCAAAGTGACCGACTTTAGACCTTTGACCTCCACCGTTACACTTGGTCTTCCTGTAGCTCGCAATCTCGTGACTACAGCTGCCGCCCATAGTGCGTCACCCACTTCCCCTGCTGCCCATAGATGCGTCACTCAGTCCCCTTACCGCCCATAGTGCGTCAGAGGCGGATCCAGCTCAGATTTTTTTTGGGGGGGGGGGCAAACCATAACAATTTATCGATTCTTTCCATGCCTCGTCCATAGGCGTAATGTTAAAATTATGGCGTTTGGGGGGGGGGGGGCAAATGTCCATTTTGCCCGCCCCCCGCCTGGATCCGCCACTGTAGTGCGTCACCCACTCCGCTTACTCTGCCGCCCGTAGTGCGTCACCCACTCCTCTTACTCTGCAGTCTGCCGCCCATAGTGCGTCACCCACTCCCCTTCTCTGCCGACCCTAGTGCGTCACCCACTCCTCTTACTCTGCCGCCCATAGTGCGTCACCCACTCCCCTTCACTGCCGACCATAGTGCGTCACCCACTCCTCTTACTCTGCCGCCCATGGTACGTCACCCAGTCCCCCTGCCGCCCATGGTGTGTCACTCAGCTGACTCAGTCCCCCTGCCGCCCATAGATGCGTCACTCAGTCCCCCTACCGCCCGTAGGTGCGCACTCAGCCCGCAGGTGGCGCCATGTGCATCTCGCCGCGGCCCGCTGGCGACTCACCGCCGCCGCTCGGACCGGGCTCGTGGCTGCCGCGCGCGCCGCTGGCTGAGCGCCACTGGTCGCCGCTGCTGCGCGCCTGTCTGAACCGCGCCACTCCGACCAACTGTGCGGCGCTGGTGACGGCTCTGCACGCTGCGGTGGTGCCGCGCGCCGCTCGGCCCGACACCGTGCCGCGGCTGGTGAGGGACGTACTGGCCCATGTGTCGGTCAGTGGTCTGTATGGACCGCAGAACGCGGCACTGTGCGGCGCGCTGGCGGATCTGCGCACGCCTGATGACGATCAGAGCTTCCTCGAGCTGCTGACGGAGCGCTGTGAGGCCGCAGCGCTGGGTGAAGAGCTGGTGGAGTCGTCTGTGCGCCGTCACTGCGCTGCTTTCCTCGGAGAGCTACACACCGCTGAGGTGACCTCCACGGAGCGCATGTGGCGCTGGGTAGCGCGTCTGGAGCCCCGGGACCACGCATCACCCGACCCAGCCAACGTGGACAGTCTGTGCGCCCTGCTGGCCACAGGCGGTGCCAAGCTGGAGACGGAGGCAGCGGCAGACGCCGTGGCGGCCGTGGCCATCTCCGCGGCGGCAGAGACGACGGACGGGGAGACGGAGCCGACGCCGCTGGACGCCCTGTTCTCTCGACTCTGTCGGCTGGCGACCTCCCCCGGACTGGACACCCGTCTGCGCTGTCTACTGCTCGACACTGTGGAACTGCGACAGAGGGGCTGGAGGCGGCGCGCGCACTTCGCCTGTCCGCAGCCCATCGACGAGCTGCGCGCGGCGGCAGAGGCCGAGATGACAGCGCCGACAGGACGACGACGGAGAAGGCGCAGACGGCAGCCGCAGGCCACGTGATCTGCGGTGACCCGAGGACATGGCTTGCGAGAGAGGCGTGAATACGAGAGATTGAAGTGTCGGCGATACTCGGCTTTAAGAAGCGACGAATCATGCTTGTTCAGATTTGTTACGAAATATTTCAGTCAGTCATTTTTGTTGTCATACTACGCCCAGCGTATGCTCAGGCTAAGCATTGTATTGGTCGGGTAAGCTGGGGACTGGATGGCCACTTTGGCCAGCTTGAGGGTCTGAGGCAGGGAGTCAGGGTCATTCCTGTGATACCGGTATATTGTCATTGCAATCCTACATGTTTGCAGTGGTAGGAACTATTGTGCTCATCTCAAATGGGGTTATGCTGGCCGCTGGGGTCGCCGCAAATGCGATAATTAAACAAAAGTTCATCGAAAGGTACAGTTGTGAAATGCGAATAGTCTGTATTTATTGGCACACAACTCCTTCGTCTTAGCAACTGTTTGGATCGCGACTTTGGTGGTGCTATGCTTTGGCCGGAACAGTGGTATTGTCCTGGAGCGTTCCTTATGTAAGGGATAATTTATTGATGCTGAGTGGTGCCTTTATGTTACATTTTTAGACCCGGAAATAAATGAGTCGTCGCTTTCATAAAGGCTTTTTGCTGTGGTACATTATCCTGAATATGTCTCAGTACAAATATTTGGACAGCTATTGCTCATAATCTGCGTGAAAATCTGGGGAAACATCAACCAACCAAGACCACAAACTCCAACAGCACTCGATGTGTTCACTTCACGGCCACATTCGTTTCACAGGGCGACAAAGTATGACAAAAAGTGTCCCTATCATTTCAAATCATAATTCTTTTGTGCTCATCTTTGCCGTAAATGTGTGAAGTTCATGGTGAAATTAGAGGAAAAGATAATAAACATCCATGATCCAAAACAATATTAGGTGCTATGTTATGAATACGATCTTGCAAATTATCATTTCGTTGCCCTGTTCGCGTCATATTTACAAACAATTGCGCCAGAATGAGCTAGCCTCAAATAGTGCTGTAAGAAATTATTTTTATTTCTCAGAACTATTGTAATAGAATTTGTTTGATTTCGAATACTTGTTCAAAATACTATTCTATAGGAAGTGGAGCAAAAATTTCTATTTTGAGACGTTCTATAGAAGAGGAACACAGGCTGTGCTCCGCAAAAAATTGTTTTGATTACATCGTCCCTATTTCGTCCTTTTCCGCTTACCACCCTCAGCCACAGTAGCAATGGTGAGTAATGGGCGTGATTTCTGTGATTCTCATCTGGTGGGGGACACAAACCTGTTAATTTTATCACTGGAGCTTGTGTCACTCGCCACGTTGAAACATTGTCGGATGTGTTATTGCTGTAGGGAGATTTCGATTGATATTCAGGGATGCGGCGTTTGTGACGCATGGCTGCGTGTTTCAGGCCAAGAGGACTAAGAAGGTCGGAATCACAGGGAAGTACGGCACCCGTTACGGTGCCTCCCTCAGGAAGAAGGTCAAGAAGATTGAAATTTCACAGCATGCAAAATACATTTGCAGCTTCTGTGGCAAGGTAAGTTGAATGAATTACCTATAGATAGACCGGTAAATGTCAAGTTTAAGTCCTAAGAAGATTTCATTGATGAATTTTTCATATTTTTACATTATTTGACATCCTGAATCCAAAAATGATACTCATATGTCTCGCAAATAAAAGAAAAAAACATAATCAAACCTGACCTAACCTTACCTACTTACCTATAACCTACCAACCTACAACCTACAAACCTACCCTAACCTAACCTAACCTACAAACCTACCTACCTACAACCTAAAACCTACAAACCTACAACCTAACCTAACCTAAAACCTAAAAAAATTTCTGTTTCATATTTGTATCAACAGCGTCACAATTGTAGTTAGGACCTAAACTTGACATATACCGATAGACCTAAGACTAGTTGGGAAAGGTGAGGACGACGTCCAAGTTTATCAAGAAAATAATTAAAACTGACCTTACCCTACCAACTAACCTACCAGCCTTCAACCTGCCAATCTACAACCTACATAGCCTATATAGGTAGCTGTAGGCTTCACATACAGAGCGTAAACAGTAAAACCCTATTCCCTGACGTGCCCATCGCGTTATGCTCTGTGTATGTGAAGTGGCCTTAAAGGGACACTCCCACCTTAACATTAGTTTTGAGTTGAGATAGCCAAATTGGTGGCCATGGCCTGCAAATACCGGTTTGGGCACTCGCAACATTGAAAAATGCTTTAATTCGAAGATATGGAATTTCAAACTTGCAGTTTTCGGATTCTAAGGGGCTAATGCATTGGAATGCCCCCTTAGAATTTGTGACGTCAGCGGAGATCTAACGATTTTTAAATCTTAGACTAAAACCATCGTTAACACGTGGTGGTATACGCTGCTTTGCGCGCAACGTCTGCCGCACTTTAAGGCTGCCAAATTATTGCTTCCAAATAAAGTCGCTAGTAACAGGGGAGATCCCAAAAAGTAAACAAAAGTAAAAGCCTAATATCTCGAAAACCAGTGAATATTTTTTGGTGAAATTTGATAGATATTCGTTTTCGCTCTTTCTCAACCAAGGGACATCACTTTCATGCCAATTCATTAACTTTTTTGAAGGTGGTAGGGTCCCTTTAAGGCTAATAATTCCAGCAGGTGGCTATTTTTCTGTTGGTAAAACTGTTGTTGTTTTTGTTGTTGTTTCTTTTCTGCTTCTGTTGTTGGTAAAACAGGCAGCTATTAATTCCAGCAGGTGGCTATTTTTCTGTTGGTAAAGCTGTTGTTGTTTTTGTCATTGTTTCTTTTCTGTTTCTGTTGTTGGTAAACCAGTCGGCTATTTTTTCTGTTGGTATTCTACAATTATGGTGCACATGTTACAATTACAAATGTAAACTATGGACTTCACAGCTAATATTACAATTTAGTTGTAAAGAAATCACATATTTTTGATCTTATTAAAATTTAAAACATATTTTGTTTATCTAAAGTGGATTGTCATTCTTTTTATATATTTATATCAATCACCAGAAATATCCAGGTTGTGTTCCTGTGCCTCCAGTAAAACTTTCTAGAAGAGCCTCCATTCAAGAATTCAATTGGGTGCTGGAACTGGCTCTTAGGTATTAAATGTATTGCCTAAAATCCTTTGCTTACATTTGTAAACATCAAATGTACTGTGTACACCATAATTGTAGACCAGACTAGCCTCAAGTCAGATATGGACCCCAGTCCCACAACTGACTGGAGCTGAGGTTGCTGGTGGTTTCTGATAATTATTTGTCTGGAGCCTGCTGGCACTTCCTAGTGGTGATTGAACACTGACTGGATAGTTCTGGAACTAACTAGAGCTTTCTTCTGGTGGTGCTTGAACAAGCCATTAGCAAAGAACAGCTGCAGCTGTCACCTCTTTTTTAACTGGCCTCTTTTAGTGGTCTATATGATGCCATTGGCATATCTATCTTGCACTGCTATTTTAGTAACCTTTATCAGATAATTTAGTTAGACCCATTTCTCTATTTGGTAGAGCATTGAATTCTAGTGGCCAGACTACTAATCTTGGTAACAGGTTTGATAAGACATACCAGCTAGTAACTGCTAGGGTGACAAGTCTGAAATTCTGGCAATAGAATGTCTTTTTCATGCCATGGACAACTACTGATCTTGAACAACCAGATGTTGTGTCCAGTACTCTTGTCACTGCTGAATATTGCATGTTCCCAATGTGCAACAAATGTAAGGACAAAGTGATGCTGGGTGTTGGTGACCTCTGAAGCCTGGGTGCCCTGAAATCACAATTGGTCATCAAGGAGTGATGCTTATAATTGTTTGTTGCAGTGGAGAGTAGAATATGTCTTTCCTTATAGGTGCAGTATGGTAATGATATCAGATAGGACTGGGAAGGCTTCAGTCATGAGGTTTAGGTGCTTTACTTTACAGCAAGCGCCACTGATAATTACCACACTGCATTCATTCAGTACGTGACTAGTTACCCACCTGAGCTACAATTGCATTATAGTCTGCGAGGTAATGCAACCTTGCCCTGCGCTGTCAAGGGAGTTTATTGACGGATTGAACAATGTCCGTCTGTGCTGTCGGGTCTCTGTGGTCTATAAACGTGTCCGTCTGACGTCTGTCCTGTCTGAGAGAGGTGCTCCGACCACGTCTGTGCGCCCTGTCCGGTGCAGAGTCAACCCTGCCCCGTCCCGAGTTTCCAGGGCGGTGATCTGACGTTTGTCTGTCTGTCCCGTTTCAGGAGGCTCTGAAGCGCCCGGTGGTGGGCATCTGGAGGTGCGGCGGCTGCCCGGTCGTATGGGCCGGCGGTGCCTACGCGCCCCACACGCCCGCCGCCATCACCGTGCGCGCGGCCACCCGCCGTCTGCGCGAGACCAAGGAGCTCTGAGCTGGATACCGACCGCGCCGCCGCCCATCGATTCAGACCTCACCCACACACCCGGGACGCGCCATAATATACGCTGCCTGAGGTGACACAGTGTCTGACGGGGGTGTGGAGGCTGGAGGGGGGGGGGGGGTCGCTCGCGAGCCGGTCACAACTCACAGACGGGGTGCTCAGAGACGTTGCGGCAATGACAGTGGACATTATATTCACGGGGGCACGAATTATACATAAATGTTCATATAATATCAACTAAAACACTAACCCTCAAACATTCCACTGATACTGACTTACATTGACACATCCGGTAGCACATCGCTCACCGTAGGCTGAGTCGTACTTCGCCCAGAAATGATAAACGAATGATAAACGCCGCCGCACCGGCAGCTAAAAGCACGTGGTATGTTAGATATAAGTAGATACCGAATATTGTCACTAATACGGAATTGACTGAGGCGAACATACATCACCATGTCAAACCATCTGTTGTGCCCCGATTACCCTGGAGAACATGCACCATGTGCTGATTTGGTGACCGCTCAGGCACATCACCCCTGATAGCGTCTCGCAGCGGCGAGTCCGCCTAGACAGTGACATGAGCTCAGTTAAAGCTGATAACTTAATCATCCGCGCGTCCGCAAAATAAAACAGGTCACCGGGGAAAGACTGAGAGGTCCAGGTCCGGCCGGTATCGGCCACCCGCCGGTCTCAGCTACAGTCGTCATGCTCACTACACTATTGCACTATCTACCTACTCACACTCCGTGCTCCTCTAAACGGACTGCGGCAGCCCGCGCTACCGCCGTCCGCCGTTTGGACGCTACACAAACATGTCACAGCAGTTGAATATCTAGTCGGGAGCAGTCGCCGTCCCCTGCCTCCGTTCATCAACTCCCTAGTGCCGCCCGGCTCATTGTTCCGTGCCGCTGTTGGTGCCTGTGGCTCCGGTAGCGGCGGCGGCGCCCTCTCGCGGCTTCCGCTCCGGTGAACGCCGGCCGCGTCTCTCGGTCGTTTCGGACTGCTGGCGCCACATGGCCGCGTACACGGCGCCCCGCTCGAGCAGTTCTTCATGCCGGCCCCGCTCCACGATTCGACCGTCCTTCAGCACCAGAATCTGATCGGCGTGCACGATAGTGGAGAGACGGTGCGCCACGACCAGCGTGGTGCGGCCGGTCGCCACGTGCGACAGCGACTCCTGAAGAGGAACACGGGGGATACGTCAGTTGGAGTCGTGGCGGGGCGAGGGTCCATCGAACACAAGGACAGATGCGCTGGCGAAATTGACGGCTGAGCTTGTTAGAACGACACAGGTAGACAGGCGGGAACAACGACCGAACTAGTCCGAGTGAGGAATCAGAACTCACAGAAGGAAAAGGCGAGACAAAGGTAGGCGCCTACTTGATCAAAGACTCAATCTCACATGCAGCTTGGCATTTCCGGGGACACATCACTCGGCTTTGCGGTGTATTTTATTTAGTACCAAATAAATAAAGTCACTATGACCGAATAGTTGGCTAGGGACTCGGGCGCCAGAAAGGTTTTGCATCAACCAGCCCGCCGATTCGTCCACGTTGTCCGTTAGAACGGTATGAACCACAGCCTCAGTAGATGACCACAGCCTTAGTAGATGGCGACACTGTTCCCCACTGTTCCCCGCGACCGCTCACCTGAATATTACGCTCCGTCTGGGTGTCGAGCGCGCTGGTAGCCTCATCGAGCAGGATGAAGCGGGGCGCCTTGAGCAGCGTGCGCGCGATCGCCACACGCTGCTTCTCCCCGCCAGATAGCTTTAGGCCTCGCTCGCCGACCTGAGACGGATGGAGGGGCGGGTCAGCGGTAGTAAATATGACTTAATTTGTGCGCGAAGGTTCAGGGTGTCACCGACATGACAGCGCACTGTAGTGATAATACTGGCGCCGTACAGTTTCCATAGATCACGCGGTTGGCCTACCGTCGTGTGCATGTCGCGTCAAACACCCTCCATGGGCGCAGAATGACCTTGCAGTCGGTGCACCCTAAAGCCCCAATAAACAAAAACAAAACGCACCATCCAGTACTAATTACCCGCAGTGGTCCTCCGTAGAACCCTGTTCCCGCCTCTCCTCGAGACCGCAGTCACCGCAGACTCACCTGGGTTTCGTATTTATCCGGGAACGTCATGATCTTGTCGTGCATGTCCGCAGCGCGCGCCGCGGACTCCACCTCTTCGTCCGAGGCCGAGAGACGTGCGTAGCGAATGTTGTACCTGCGGGTGGACGGGTGGTGAAGGAGGGTCCTTGGAAACGACGGGGACATACGAAACTGGGGATGAGTACGAGTCATCCATACTGCGCCATGCCGCATGCGATGTCCTATATGGGCGCCCATGCAATGCTCTGCAGTATAATATCCCAGGCAAAGCGGTAGGCTCTCTGAGTCGCGCGCCCCAATAGATCCAGGTCAGTCGGGCGAGGCAAAAACAGGAACTGGGACTCGCTATCTAGTTTTGCGCCGTTTCTTGCATAATATTAGCACAGCAGGACATGCACGTGTTTAGCCGGTCTTCACTCAACTGAGACTGGCAAAAAGAAGGGCGACCGTGAAATGACTCAGCCGCTCGGTGACGAATGTTGGTAGGCTAACACAACAGGGTTATTTCATTCAGTCTTTATGCCAATGACGGCGAAATCTAAGCGTCGCACCACGGCGACCCTCTCGGCACCTACCTGATGGTCTCGTTGAAGAGCACGGTATCCTGGGGCACGACTCCGATGGCGCGCCGCACCGAGCGCTGCTTCACCCACTTGATGTCCTGGTTGTCGAGCATGATCCTGCCGTCGGTGACGTCAAAGAAGCGGAACAGCAGACGGATGAGGGTGGACTTGCCGCCGCCAGACGGTCCCACCTGACCGGGTGACGGGGAGGTCAGCAGCCATCGATACCAGACGACCACCGACAACCACCGCAGCATTGGTCAGCAGACTCGGTGGCCCCATTGAATACCAATGGCGCAATCTACTTAGGGAGTCCGGTATCACACTAGCTTGCCACCGGATTCGCTGCTCACTGTACAGTCACTACCATACACACACGGTCAGGCTATTCCACTTACACGTCTTACCGAGAGTCCCAAGACTCACCAGTGTCCCTGTCTAGCCGGACTCCCTCTATGCAATGGGGCGACGCCCTTCATAGTTCATGTTCAACTCCCTGTAATGGTACTTTAATTTCCCCAGACTCGCCAGTGCCTTTGCCCGGCCCGTGACCCCTCTCTGTAATAGGACGCTACCCTCCCGGCCTCACCAGTGTCACTGTAAGTCCCAGCTCCACGCTGAATGAGACGCTACTACCTCTAGACTAATCAGTAAGAATTTTGGACTCACCAGCGCCACCGTCTGTCCCGGCTCCACGCTGAACGAGACGTTACTACCTCTATACTAATCAGTAAGAATTTTGGACTCACCAGCGCCACCGTCTGGCCCGGCTCCACGCTGAACGAGACGCCCCGCAGGATCGGCTTCTCTACGACGTAGTGGAAGGAGACGTTGCGGAACTCCAGCCTTCCCTCCTTGACGACGAGGTCGGACACGCCGGGCAGGTCAATGACCTCCTCCTCCTCCCGCAGCAGGTCCAGCATGTTCTCCATGTCGACAAAGTTCTGCTGGATCATCCTGGGGAGGGGAGGCGTAAAAAACATGGCTAGTTGCCAACAAATAGCGGGTGAAAATCAGTGTCAGGAGTGCTCACTTGGAGATCAGTGAATTTACTCTGCGGTATACGAATCATCGGAATGTGAAACAAGAATATAAATGGCCTTTGAAGTAATGGTATGAAATTGGCTGAAAAACAAAATTGCATAGGCAAATCCACTCCCGATTGCTAGATAAAAAGGCCCAAGAAAGGTGCGAACGACAGGCGCGTTGGATAAAAAGTTGCCGACCGTAAACAGCAGAAAACATGACCCTTCGAAGTGCGACGATTTTAACTAAGCATCCTTTGTCAATAGCACGCGATGCAAATTTAAATGAAAAAGCTGGATGTAGAGAACTACAAAATGCCTCTACATTCCATTTCTCCATTTACATGTCGAGCTGTCCGATTTTCGAGAAAAAAAATACAGTGGATACATGAGCAGAGTAAATGCATATTACAAACGGACTGCAATGCTGAGCGAAGTGAATAGGAAAATCCGTTCGTGATACGTATTTACTTGCTCATGAATTCGGGGCCAATGCAGTGATGCACGCTCCAGGCCAACCGCTTCCCGATGTGAAATAGGCACTGAAATTCACCATTAGCTGCCACTTAGGGGCGGATCCAGGGGATTAAGGGGCTAACTAAAGCCTCTAGCCGAAAGAAATATGCCACCCTGCAGAGCCACGAATCGCGGCGCCGCAACAGTACGAACGTCACTATGACCGTACAAATTAGGGTAACCGTAAAATTAGGGAAAGGGAGAGAGATATAGGAATTTCTCTTCAATTTTCACTATAATCGTGCATTTTGCCGCCCCTGATAAGTGGAAAACATGCCGTTTCCCAAACATTGGCTCCTGGACGAAGAAATCCTGGATCCGTCCCTGTAGCTGCCACCCCCCCCCCCCCCCCACGCACCTGTAGTAGGTTCCGAACCAGTTGAGCGGCGTGTACAGCTGCAGGATGTATGTCGAGAACAGCACATAGTCCCCCACAGTCAGACTTCCGTCAGACGACACCAGGTAGGCGCAGTACAGCGAGCCGGCCAGCAGTCCTCCGTTAATCACCACGTTCTGTACCACATTCAGCACGTTCAGAGAGGCCTGGGAGAGCCAGTCGATCCGCTGCCGGTCCAGGATCGAGGTACGGTACCGGTTGATCTCGTACTCCTCGGCGTCGTAGTACTTGACCGTTTCGTAATTGAGCAGCGCGTCGACGCCCTTGGTGCGCTGGGCGTTGTCGAGGAGGTTGCTTTGACGCCGGTACTTGGTACGCCATTCGGTAATCACAGCCGTGGCCACTGGGGACGAACGGTGGACACCTCAGCGTATTTACTAACAATATGACCTCTACTCACCCACCTTGGCCACTGGGGACGAACAACGGCGGTCTCAGCGTATTTACAAACAATATGACCTCTACTAACCCTCTACTACAAACAAACGACCGTAAGAAAAACAGAAAGGAATCAAACGGCAAAGTATGGCATTTTGCACGCTATTGTTAAGTTTCGTCGGCGTTTTCAAAACCGCCGATCGTACTCCGCAGCCGTTCGGCCTCTGATCGAGGTAGAGCTTTGCGTAAAAAGGGCGTTCGAGGAGAAACGGGTGAAACATTTGGGTCAGGATCATGAAATCTTAAGGGTATGTGTAAAATTGATAAACCCGAGGATTATGAGTTTCGATAACAACCGCTAATTTTTTACGAGTTATTCGCGAAAAAATCGTCCCTCCGACCCCCTTCCCCTAATTAGCGCTAGGACTCATCCTCGTCTGAAGAAATATGTTCGACACATCCTCCTCACCCATATAGAGAAGCATCGTGACGAACACGATGAGGCCGAACCAAAAGTTGAACGCCCCGGCGAAGAAGGAGATGGCAATGACGATATCCGCGACGGTGGGGAGGATCTGAAAGACGAGGTAGCTGAGCAGCATGTTGATGGAGGAGGTGCCGCGATCCATGATGCGCAGGACCTCCCCCGTCTTCCTCGCCAGGTGCCAGCGCAGACTGAGGCGGTGAAGATGGGCAAACAGGTCCACCTGAAACACAAACAAACACATGACGTTAGAAACGCAAACACCCGTGGCACAGTCTGCACTCTGCACTTTGCACTCTGGTGTCGGGGTGCCACGGGTCGGGTTCTGCCAACTGCCAGTCCACACTTTGACATACAGCAGGGTAAACTAAAACAGTCACATCCGTAAAGCTAGCACTTCTGGTTCATATTGCGCAATGAATGAGTGCATTATGTGTGTTAGAGCAAATAACGCCAGAAAGAAATAAGAAACTACACTGCACAGCTGGATCCTTTTCAGTAAATCTCAAAACCGTGATAAACTCGCAGGCCGCACCAACCACGGACACACACAATGAGTGCTTTCTTTGACACACAGCGGCTCACTACACCGTGACCCGTCGCATGTCTCCAGTGATTATTTACCCACCGCCCTGATCTACCCTACAATCCCTCTGCCAGGCTGCTCCTGTCTGCCCCAACTCTCCCTGGCCAGGGACCCTCACTTCTATCCTAACCGTTCTACCCATCGGACGGCCTAGCACCCCCTTCCCTGTCCATTCTTACCTGGACCTCACGCTCCGTGTACTGTTGCACCTTGATCCAGAGCAAATTCCGCAGGTTGTTCAGCAAGCCCATACTCCCGACGCCACCTCCTTGCAGGAACTTGAGGCCGACGTATGTGAGAATATCCTTCCACGGGAACTGCGGTGTCAGGTGTATGCCGTCCGTGGTGGTCAGATCATCCACTGGGGGACACAGTTGCAGTTATATCTACAGCATATTTGCACGGCTGGTTACAGAATGTTTATCGCGAGACGGACGGTCCGGTCACAGACACATACCGGCAACTGCACCACAGACTGGCTAGAAGTCAGAGACCAAACATGAACAAAGTGTTACATAATGGCGAAAAGGGACACGATAATAAAAAGCAATGCAATTATACCATTTGACGTGCTACTGTAGATCGTCAATCCTTCAACTTTAAGTTGCAAGTGCCCTTCCATTTTATTATTTTGTGCTTTTTGACGAGCGATTAACAAACTAAACAAAGTTTGGTAACTCCTAGCATTGATAACTTTCACCATTTGTATTTAATGGGACCGTAGAACGATACACAAGACGGATCATGAACGGCTACCAAACGTTCCCAACCCCCACCCACAGCACTGACCGATATATTTGTAGTAGAGCGGCACGTAGACGTTTGTGATACGCGTTCCGACCAGCAGCGCCAGGCAGAAGAGTACAGTGGCCTGCAGCAGCGGGTCCGAGCGCGGCCAGATGAACGGCAGCAGCCGGCGCAGCTTCCGCGCCAGGCCGCGCCACGTGCTGCCCTCCTGAGCTCCAATCGTCCCCTCTGCGCCGGTACTGCGCGGCTGCACATCGGTAGTCGCAGAGGGGCAGGTCATCGTGAGGTGGACTCAGAGAACAATAAATATTTACTAATTACAGAAAGAGTCCGGTCACGATTCAAAACACAGATAGTTCGGAGCACAGCTCAAGTCCTATGTAAAAATAGATCACCACACTGTTGCATTTCCGTGCTAACGCCAAGCCTCGCGGTCACTGACTGGCCGGCCGCCTGCTCCGGCGCCGGACGAGGGGCGGGGTGGCTCACCCGGCCACTAGCGGTGGCAGGGAAGTCCAGAACCCGCGTACAATGACCACAGTGTTTCCGCGGACACTGGCGGATCCAAGGGAAAGGGGCGGCTTGACAAGATAAAATTAGCCCCTCTACACCCCATCCCACGAGCGATACATGAAATGCACTGAAGCTGCTTGCGAAAATTAATTTGCGTACGAGTAAAAAACAAATCCGAACTTCATTTTTGACATTACTTTTGCGCTGTTTTGGGGCTGCTAACAAATTGGCAGCTGCAGGATGGAAAAGTGTCGTGCGTCAACTAAATTCCAACGTTGTTATGAGCAGGAAGCCAGTCCACTGTGGTGAGCTAGCACCGGCGGGGCGAACGACCGCAGCTGTTTGCGACGAATAAATCCGATATGCCCTGTTCGGGCAACGCATCCTATTGCAAAATTTTGCACCACGCATGCGCAGTTGGGGTCTCTCGGGTGCCAAGCTCCGCCCTTCGGCGTATGACGTCACACGTGTGACGTAGGCTCGCGCAAAATCTTTCAGTTTTGCGCAAGAAGAAAATAGTAGCTGCAGGAGGCGAAAGTGGCGCGGATTAAAGTTTACCCTCATATATTTCTTATTGTAAGTGGTTAGTATGGTGTTATTTTGGTATCATTATCTTTCTTTTCAGTGGCACATTGCTATTAACCACATTTGAACGCATTTTATTCAGTAATTGAACGAAACACACTAGTCCATCCGCGCCACGGTTCGCCGCGTGTCTCGTGGCCCTCGGCTTTGCGGGCCGGCGGAGAGTGGGCGGAGCATGGGCAGAGCCAGGCGGCTGACATCATCGCATGTGTGACTTCACACTCAGCAAAATATTTTGCGCGGACCCGAACAGGGCCCAGGCCATTATTATAAAATAAAATCGAGACACTGGCTGCAAATACAAATCGAGCCGAATAAAGCAGCCGGCTGCTTTTCTCATTATCATAAAACTCACGCGTGCTTCATTTTTACGCATCTTCCGGCTCATTATTTGGCTGCGAAAAATGAGCCAAAAATGTATGATGTCATACTTCAAGTGCTTTATATATTCTATATTATGTGATTATGTGCATTATATTTCCGATTTTTAAAATCTTTTGTTTATATTTATGCTTAATCTTTCGATAAAACATATTTTAAGACGTTTTCCGTGTCTTTTGTAAGAAAACTCATGTCACATTTAAAGGTGAATTGATGACAAAAGTTCTTGGGTTATCACAGCAACTGTGTTATGCCTGGCTCAAAACGTTGAGCATTGTTCATGCTTGGGATTGAGTAATTAAGAGATGTATTTATGAATTAATCGTGCGAACAAGTTAATCGCTCAATTTATTAAAAATAGCAAAACTTTAGTTCTAAAAGAAGACATACTTTGTTTAGGAAAATTGCATTTCAACCATCAGTTTCTGGGATTAAGCAAAAGGACAGCCAGATTTCATTGGGATATACATATATTTCGAACAAAAAGTAGTAGCACGAAAAATCTTTCAGCAACATGCATTACAATCGTTGACATTTTGTGTATTTGAAAGAGATCCGCATAACATGTCGGGTTTTCGACCATATTCACGTCTATAGTATTGAGCGAAAACCAATAGACGATAACCACAGGCGGATCCAGAAAGTCTCGGACGCGGCGGAGGGCATACGCCCAACTAATCGGATTTGGATTCCTTACGCTCAGCTGTGTAGCTAAAGCAAATATTTTTTCATAGTTTTTTCGATTTATTTCTAAAAAAAAAATCGTCGATTTCAGGCGCTGTATACGGGCATTTACCCCAAAGCCGGAAATTTGTCCCAAATGCCCTTCCTGTTTACATTTGCACACCCATTCCACGTTCCATGGTGCTTTACCGTTTTGACTTCTCGTTGACGGCCGAGCGAAATCCAGGGACACCCGGCATCGGACATCGCCTCTGCTGAGCATCGTGACACCCGTGACACCGTGGTAGCGCAGTTTGATTCTGCCGGACTCGGTTTGTCTAAAAGGAAGGGTATACATACTAGCGACCCTGACGGGCCTAATGATCATGTTGCTGCCTGGCTTTAGCTGCTTAAGTGCTGAGTTATAAATATGCTGTCGGACTGGTAATTAACAAGGACACGTTCCAACATCCACATTCCACACCATGTGAAAAGTGAATAACTATTGCGCGTCGCACCACCATATCTGTTCTAAATGAGCTGGATATGTGGTCATGCCGGCGTTTGCCAGTGACCAGCCGGATACATAATCTCGCTTTTTGACACGAGTTCATGTGTTACAGTTTCCATTTCTACAGGTCTGGCGTAGAGATGCCTGGCGCTGTTTACCAAGCGGCGCGAGATGTTGCCGGCCGCAACCGGCGGGCGGCGCACCGCGTCGTCATCACCACCTTTTCTGGCCGCGTCCTTGACTTTTGACATTAATTTTCCGACTTAAATTTCTCTCAGATATAATCTAGGGTGTGAGATCTTGGGAGCTCAGCATTGTCCTCAATTAGTCCTCGGAGTCCGCCAGAATTCGACAGGCACCGCCTTCTGAAACTTCAGCACTTTCGAAGACCTGCCTACTATTTTTTTGCAACTTCTAAACGTTCCACTAAATGCATGGGATTCCTCAGCTCGAACTGCATCTGAAACACAGTTTTTTTTTACATTCATCCCATCTTAATTTGGTCATTTTGACACGACCCTGACCCGACCTTCACTATACGCTTAACCTGCTGGAAAACTTAACTGTACCTGGGAATACCTTTACAGTACCTTTACAGGGTTTACCTTACAGTATTCCTATCCGGTCGCTTTATGGAAAATAGCCTAGTTAGGTGCGGATCGAAAACAGTCTAATATTCCATTTTCTAAGTTCTAGTAGTATTAATCATTATTGACTTTATAAAGAGTACGTATCAAAATATAAATACATGAATAAATAAAAAAAAAAATCATGCGAATCGTAAACATTCACGAAAGAAAACCAATCCCGAATAGATGCTTTTCTTCCTGGTTCGTTCTTTAGACCATGTCAACTGATGTTAGTTATAAACATCAATTAAGTATATTGACGAGCTGAACAAAATCAGAAATAATATATATTTTAAATAAGTTACAGCGTGCTGAGGCAGTTGATATACTCAAATTATGGTCACAATTCTAAGCACGCCAATGCTGCGCCCATGACAGAACGTTTGGACGCTTCTTCATCATGGGCGTCGAAACCGGGGGGGACGGGGGGGACGCGTCCCCCCCAGTCGAGGAATCCGGGGGGGACGTCCCCCGCAAAAATATCCCCATGAATGGTTTAAAAAGTGACCTACGACATTGGTGTATTGTCGTTTTGGGATGAAATTGCGGATACCTACTCGTATACAAATTGAATCTGCGAATTGCTGACACTGTACCCTTGCTTACAGGGCTGCGGAGTAGATGATTTTGGTAACTCCGACTCCGGCTTAAAAAAAAAAAAAACGCTCGGAGTCCCCACTCCATCTCCGACCACGGCATCCCTCGGCCCGCATCGGAGTGAAAAAAAACATGTGATGTGATGCTTTTGTGTCTTTGAACGTTTCTTGGCACATTAAAAGATAGCATTGCCTACGAGGTGCAGCTCTGGACTGTCCGTCCCAGGTCCTCGATAGGGAGCCAAAGCTCCAGTTGTAGGGGCGACCATATCCAACAAGGGCTGAAGATCTGTCCCAAAGTCTCAGAGTGCAGTAGGACAACAGCTTGCAGAGACCACACATTTTACATAGGATATTCGTACCTAACAGTCAAGACCTTCAGCTCACTCTCAAACGGCCCTCTTCCCGTTCGAGGCCATGCGACAGCAGAAGGTCTCACCATGGCCTTTGAACGCTTGATGCTTGAGGGTGGTGAGAGGACCTCGTCCTGGTCTGAGAGAGCCCAGGAGGACGTAATGCTCAGTATGCCCCTACATTGGTCTTACCATGACCCCTACAATCACCACAGCCAACAGAATCTTCAGGTCTTATTCGGCCCATCCTCGGGGATGACCTTGACTCTGACTTCAGAGATGAAGTCTGTTACGATTTTGGTGACTCCAACTCCGTATCCGACCAAAACCGTCGACTACGACCCCGCAGTCCTGCAGCTACACTGCACAGAAGTTGGAAAAAAGCTGTACCTATGGTTGACAGCGGTTTACAGAGGACCACACGATTTTTTAGAGACAGGGCTGCTGGACTTGGTGACCAGACCCTAACTGTCCTGGTATCAAACTTATTACGCGGAATGCAAAATTTATGCGTTTTGGGACTGTTTTGCCAAGAGTTTTTGCCAATTTTCGCGGCGCTTCGCGCCGCCAATTCATGCACAGGTAGAAAAGAGTGTGACTAATAACGCCTCCACGCGAGAACATGAGAACATGTGTATTGTGTATGCGTTACAAGTAGTGCATAGGCCTGAAATTGTACGGTAAACTAACTAACTTTTGGGTTTTTAGTCAGCCAATCCGTCCCCCCCAGTCAAAAATCCGTGGCGACGCCCCTGTTCTTCATTATGACGGGGATGAATGCCGCTTACTTCTCTTCCTGCTAGACAAGCTGTTTTATGTCCCAGGGCTCACAAATAGCTTTAAAGTTATCGCTAGAAGCGTTAAAAATGCATGGAATGCACATATTATGAAATATTTGATAAGTTACGAGTGAAATTATCGTCATAAGACTAGCTTTGCAAAATTTTACGACGCTGGTACCCGACTGCAAATATTTGGACAACACTATTCGACCGCCACCCTTGCAGCCATTCTAT